CTGCCATTTAAAATTCTGAAAGTATGTGTTTCTGTGTTATTGTTAGCTTAAGAATCGTTGGCACATTTTTTTTGATCCACTGTTCTTTTTAAATGTCAGGTTCATATTTAATGTTCTTTTACAGAGTTTATCTCTGCATCTGTGTCTTTGAAAAACTCAGATCTTGGGGTAAATTGGCTTTTCCACCTGGCAGAATAGGGCATTGTGGTAGAAAATTAATATGTGTAGAGTGGACTAAATTTATAGTATTTACAAGTCACTGAAACTTGTCATATTACTGAATTCATGAGTCACATAATATAATAACGCAAGATATGCTCAGTTAACTTTAAGAAAATTCTTAGTGTTTTAGTTTTATTTATCAAAATTGTTTTAATGCTGTAATATTGCAAACGAGAGTAACGTTGACAATAAGATACATTCATTTTCAATTTTGTACATTGAATTAGTTTGATTTTGTTTCAAAAATTAGAATTTTTCAAGTTTTCCTCACTGCTTATCCCGGCTACTTAGAAAGACATTATATATAAAAATATATTAAAAAATATCTTGGATATCGCTAAGTAATTCCATTTTTTTGGTATATGCTTGATGGATGTAATTTGGAATAGAGAGTATAAAGCTTGGTCTTTATGTAGATATGTACCATTCAAAAGACTGCTAAATTAAAAATTACTTTCTGGATTTCAAACAAAAATTGGGTGAGAAAAAAAAACGAGCTGATCATTTTCTTAAAATTTATGTGTAAAATGGAACCTTTATCGGATGATATTTTAATTTGTAATCACTCTACAATTTTTCAGAGTAATTTGTTTGTGATTGTCTACAGATACGAGTAATTTCATTCTCAGCAGGAATCTGATTGATTGAGGCAAACTAACTGGCATAAATAATCATTCATACACACAATTGCCGATTTGAAAGTAGCACGCTGTGATGTGATAAAACCTAGTGAAACTCAAAAGATATAATAGTCGTTATTGTACCCAGTACCTACATCCTGGATGGCTCTGAAGCGATTGGAAATCGTGTAGCATCTCATAGGCGGATAAAAGAAGGTACAGTATTCGATTACTAGGGATAACACGCTGAATATCTCCAGACTGAAATCTCCAACTCGATACAACTGGGAAAATACCATGCGTCTATTGTTTAATCATTATGTTCTTGCAATGGGAAACTCAATCATGCATTTCCGTGGTAATTTTATGCGAAATGAACTTGCATCAATGATGTCAAGTAAAAGGAAAATGGTAACCTGGACTCAACAACAGAATCTGGGACACGGTGTCTCATAATCATTTATTACATTTTGACTCATCCGGGCTTACATTAACATATGAAGTTTTTGATTATTTAACCCAAGGCCTGTAAAGTTGTTTACTGCAATTTTATTAGACTGCTTTTGCAAACTCTGCTAGATGGGCCAATATGTTGAGTGTTCACCAACTCCGCAAACGCTTATTGATTCAACATTAAAGTACACTTGACAATATACAAAATGTATATTAATATTTACGGACGGTACTCAGCCAGACATGTTTGCTACCAAAAGAAAATTTGGCTGAGTTTATCAGTTGAGTTGTTTATGACGTCGACCCAGGAAAACTTCTGATGTTTTGAAGATCAAATTGGGACACTTATAAAGTGTAACGTATACGTCCCAAGGTGCTGCCGCAACGAATCTTACCGAAATCAGCAAAATTAGAGGAATTCAATTATCTGGTAACATCGATTGTGTTTATCAAAAGCAATAGGAAAGAAAAGTTTAAAAGTTTGGCGATGAAAGGAGTTGAAATCTTGTTACAAACGGAAACCAAGCTCGACTAATGCAAGACCCCATGGATAATGATGTTGTTGTGACGAAACAATACGTGAATGTAAAATCATCGAGCGATTATCAAATAAAATAATTGTGGCTGATAATACCAGATTGTCAGGAAAAGGTCATAAGTTTCTTTGTATCGGATATTGGCATATACAAAGAGAAGGTGGGGGAATATTACTGTCTGTAGTATTTTGGTGTCAGATATACACATAGCTATAAGTTTGACTTTAAATATCCGGAACTTATATCTTTATAATGTACGCGTCCATTGACATATGGGGTGCAATTTGTAGAACAAGCACAATAATCGGAAGATCTTAATACTAATGCAAAATAGTATAGTCTATGGAATTGTTATTTGGACCAGACACTGGTGATGAGCCGTCAAACATACATATCGTCACGACTACATTTAGGAGTATGTGTGTATTCAGCATTTCTGGCAGTATCACAAAGTAGTCTCAATACAAGTACCAAACTGTTCTAGGTGGCTATTGAGATTAAGATAATTAGCATGACTGAGTTCGACACAGCGTTTGTAGAAATGGGAAATCCCCAGCGACTTTGAGCACTGATACAAAACTGAAGCATCAACGAAACTGATTTACAGGCAGTGGAAATCTATTAAATATTTGTCATTGTACGTAAGTAGTATTAAAATAGAGGCTTTGCTTATTACTGACCTAAGCTACATCCCTCTGTCCTGAATCAGGTTTCTCTTGCAGGGGCATATGTGGGTAAAATTCGCGTATGAGTATGTTGGCGTGGTATAGGGCAAAATCATGGTGGATAGAAGCTCTAACCTAAATCAATATTGCAAATCCAAACCCGCTGTTTATATACCACTAATTGGGTCAATCGGAAATTGATATCACACCCGTAATTAACACATCAGGGCCGTTAGGGGGTCATATGTGAATTGAATACTTATGCCGGGGGGTGGAGGAAGTGTATGATTGGAGTGGGGTACTCCCAATATTTTGCTTAAACCTTTATAGAAGTCCCACCCAAGCTCGATTTTGGTTGTAAATTAAATTAGTGAAAAATTGATGTAAAATTACGAGCCCCCAGTTAGCAATGCCGATGGTTAGATGGTTAAATATATAAAAAGGGTGAAATTCAAGGAATAACAATTTAATAACAATTCAATAATCAAATGATTCAAATTCCTAATTACACTCCTTCCGCAGCGTGAGATCAATTTCCACCTGTCCATGAAGTCTACTCATTTGTGGTATTCATCTCTCTCCTGTTTCTCCAAATTCCATCTCCTCTTCCACCCCGACTTTGTTCCAATTTCTTTGCCTCATCGACATCTCTCTAATCCTTCTTCACCTCCTCCACGTTCTCCTCCAGACATTTTTTTTACAGCCATTTGTGTAACCTTGCGTGAAAGATTAACAATAGCCAGCGCCAAACTTTAGATATCGAACACATGACCACGGTAATATTCCCAAGACAGTAGATTATAGCTTACTTATATATCACTTGAAAGATGGGGCGTAGCAATCATGACAGCCTGTTAGGGTCAAACAGGAAATTATCAATATGCATTTTGGTCCATAGGTTTGACATTGTCATTTTGTATGGTCTCAAATGTGACATTTTATACTTTAAATGTCCATCGTTTTAACATTGCAGGTTAGTATGGGTACAATAGCAAATGTAACGATAAGAACAACATTACAACACCACTGTTTGCATTTGCCTCAATTTCCTTTTGTAGCGAGTTTGGTTAACATTTGGATACGTTTCATTATTTCAATTTGCGCCATATGTAACCAAAGACGAAATCCGAACTCATCTAGCTCCGTTTTCTCCTCGTCCGTTCGTTTGGCTTCCACCGGTATAAATTAACGCGAAGTGATCGTTCCGTTGATTCTGTCTATCTTTTCATTCATGAGAGAGAGAGAGAGAGAGAGAGAGAGAGAGAGAGAGAGAGAGAGAGAGAGAGAGAGAGAGAGAGAGAGAGAGAGAGAGAGAGAGAGAGAGAGAATTAACTGTCATGAAAATAATAAACTTTTCAAAAGTAAACAACAGAGTCAATTGACTACGACGTTATGCTGAGAGAAGTGATGGCAGAAGTTAACTCTAGCGATTTTGAAGGGATATTATAGATTCTGATGCCATATCATCTACCTGTAAGAGTTGGAGAGACTCAAAGTTAACAAAGAATGTCCTCTGATTGCCGCGGAGGATTATTATCATATTTAATTTACCCTGTAAAGATTAACACCATTTAAGATTATCGATCACTCACTACTGTCAGAAATCTGATGTGCGGATTGAGTCTGGAATACATGCAAAATTAGCATATTTAAAAATCTTGGACCAAATTCAGCACGTTCAACTGTTAATTAATGACTTTGATATGACCGAGCTTCTCTTAACATGGAGCACGTTTCAGCTCCAAGGTCAGCAGAAAATGAAATATCGTTTTGTAAGTGAATAAATATTCCAGTACCAAAACAAATTATCGTCCAGATTAAAAATATCCACGACAGTTGTGTTTAGCCCATGACATCGCGGTGGCTCGAACTTATGCAGAAAAAAGCGACACAGCATAAAAGTAGCGATCACAGAGATCCCTAGACAGTAACATAGATTCCAAAACCGAAAAGAAGGAGTACTCATTTCGGAACATGCAGGTGTTTTGAAAGAGATCTTGTGTATAGTTCGGGAAAAGCAAAAACTTCAAGACGTGCTGCCAGTCGTTGTGCGTTGAAAGTGTACCTAAGAGTCGTTCATGGAGATGTTGAGTTTCGAGGACCTAATTTTCAAGACGAAAAATATGTTCACATTTATCATCACATTTCGATGCTATTGCTACTAAAACAGAAATTATCGGATACCGTTACTATTGCAACACAATATAAAGCATTTAACAGCATGGATCACCACTTTCGGTATCAAGAGGAAGATGTGATTGTATTTGCGTGCATGTGTGTGTGTGGTTTAGATTTTTAACGTAATTTTAACAAATTTTCAGTCATATCGCTACGATGTCTGCAGTGTGATAGTTTATAGCAATGTCTAGCACAAAGCCACCATGCCACAGACATGTATATTATGTTCAACCCAGTCATATTATCCTGACACTCGGCCGACCAGTCATATAACTAACTTCTTAATGCGAGGTGGCTGTTAGTACTATTTTATAAAGTATTTGGTTTGACTCGGTCGGGGTTTGAACCCGCGACCGTCTGCATCCGAGCTGGATGCTCTAACCACTAGGCCACCGGATCGGTCGGAGAAAGATGTCGTAGCTCGTGAGCCTAGAATTACTGAATAAATGGGTGGATTTGATATTTTCGGACCTGGAATGTTGCCAGGAAACTAGAAGTGCTATTTCTAATTTGCTGTGGTACATCTCGTTTACAGCAACTGTATTCAAGAACCTTAATTTGATCTCATTTGATATTGTAGCGCGTGATTTAGAGGAACATGAAAAGATTTTTCATGGCTCTCGTTCTCTATTTTACTTAGCTAATGGTTTTTATACCTTACTGTCAACACTTGGAAGGAATTGGAGTTATATCATCATGGTAGCTGTGATGAATATTCGTTACATTCTTTAGTCAAAGTTTGTCATGTTACGACAGACATTTTTTGTTGGAAATATTCAGAGCAAGGAATCAATTTTCCAACAGTTACTATGAATGAAACTAATATCATTACATGCAGGTGGGAAAAGAACAATGTAAAGATTTAATAAGATATTTGGCTAGTCCTTTGAATATAATACCTAAAGAATTAAGAACTACATAAATGAGTAACTGTTACTTTCAACAAATGTTCAAAACCGAAAAATATCACCATGTCCCCAACGCTATGCGAACAGAACAACGAAACGTTTTCTACACTCGATACCAAGTCTACTCTTAAGACCATTTTGAATTTCAAACGATGTTGAGATATCGTCGATCCAATGTAGACACTTTTTGGCGTTGTTGTGGAAAAGTTTGACAGTTGTGTAGAAATCATGGAATCATTGGCCCCTTTAAGGAAGCTGTTACCTTTGCCGAAGTGTGCGGATTAATGAACCTAGCAAAATTTAAATCCGAGAATAAACTAGCTCTCATACCACTTCATCCCTATCGATCTGTATGATGTCGATATTTGACCAAATCTTTGTTCTTGTTACATTACTTCTGTGACACTCAAGACAACTCTTTAGAAGATGTTAGAAACGGTGTATAAATGGAGATTATATCATATTCCATGGATGGAGGAAATTTATTTTTAAAAACCCACAGATCTTGTACGAATTTTAGGGATGAACTTTCATTAATTTCTCACTTCTTTCCCTGAACAACATTATATGTTATCGTCCACACAAAAACGATGCCAGAGTTTGGAAAGTCAAAGATACACTGTCACAAAAATGTGTGAACACAACTGCCATCGATGTTTGAAAAGAGATTCAGAATTGTAATATATCATGGAAGACTTATTGATAGAAATCGAACAACTGAATCCAAGTGAGAATTTGTTTGGCGGACGAACGAATGCTGCACTCGTTATTTAAAGGAAAAAAACGAATTCACCAAATGTAATCCCAAAGGTTTGACAGAACGCATCTAGGTGGGACAACCTCGCCAGTAATAAGGGTTGATGAAATGTAAAGTTTTACTACTGAAGAATATGTTCATGTATTATTGCTTCATCATTGTCAGAGCAATTTATTTTTCTTTAATGTCGTTATTGTTATGAAACTAGTAATAATTTCCAGCCTTGTTTCTTTTATAATCAAACAATGAGCTTTGACCGAAATATGGATAAGTGTTGAATTACTTGATGCTATCAGTCGTGTATACAATATGTTAAAAGTAATTGAAATATGCTGCCATAAAGCGATATCGACAGTAATAGTACTCCAGTCAGGGAATGTTTCAGGTTAAATCCAGAAGACAAAGAACAAATGAAGGAAAGGTATGATCCCAAGAACGCTTGGAGATGAAAAACGTCAAACAGACGAAGAAAGACATTTTCTTGTGTATTTTTGGTCGACTACTGCTCATCATCCAATATTGAAAAATACCAAATACCTGGTAGGTCCGAGTAGGTGAATTCCATTCGTCGAGAATAAAATAAAACTCGTTAAACAAGTATAAATCATACACTAATCTTACACCAAGATTTAATCTTGATTAATTAAGAAGTTGAGGTCAGTCCACCATCCAGAGTTTGGTAATATCACAATCGCTGCCAATGACCTTTTAATGCTACATTCCATTTTAGAACTTTAATGAGATCAAGTCATTTTCTTTGACACCGATAGTTGCATGTATATCGATCGCCCCCGATGAATCACGCACGTTTAGAAGAATTAAGTTTAACAGCTTTGACCAACAACATTCTGAGGAGATCATTTTTGAGTTTTAACAGTGGTGGATCTAAGATTACGGCTACCAGTACCAAGACAAGAAAGATCTTATTCGTACAAAATGTAAAGTGAAACGAATGACACTGATTTATCGTTCAAGTCACGTGGTAAGTGTGATGTTTTACAAGATGCTTTAAAGTCTGGTCAAGATCACTGCCTTCGTGTCATAACCATGGATACTCAAAAGACTATATTTGTCAGTTCATCAAATGATCAGTCGACCCTTAGAAAAGGTGCATCAGATTGTCTACGAAAGACGCGTGCGACTTCCTGACGACAACACGGTACAATAAGGATACCGTTCTCCAGTATTAAAGAATTCCAAGAACAGAAAGAAAGATTATTTTGAGTGTAATGTTCACGAAAACAATGAATTTTGCACAGAAATAGTGTGACGGACCCTGTGACACCAAGTTTAAGTAAGTTAAGGTCGATGCCGTCTCTTGCGACCAAAGTAATGCTGAACCCTATCTCATAAGTGATGCAGCATGACGGAGCCACTTTGCTATCAACATAGATACCATTATGTACCCATCTATTGATCATATACATGCACAAGTAATTAATTTTTGTTAACACAAGCTCATTTATAATTACAACGCAAGGACGAACATACGACAAATATACGTTTCCTGAGACTTTGGCTGACTATAGTAAATTTTTCAGTTGGTTCCAAACGTTTAAATGGAAATGACCTAACTGTCTGGAAGGAGAAATTCCCAAACTTTTAGCCAAAACCCATGCACAGTATTTCAGTGGTGGTATGAAACTTGACTAATAGAAGTATAAAGATACAACGTATGCCCAAGACGGTCTCAGTATTGTCGTTTCGTTTCCCTTGGTCTGTCCATAATATGATTTTCCTGGATTCTAACCAAGAATCTGAAACTATTAGAACAGAAAATGTATACAGATTTAAATGAAACGCAAGAAACAGCTGCATCCTGTATGACAGTCGTTGTAGCAAACGGGATTTGAATGCAATACGTAGTTATATTTTGCTTTGTAGCTCTTTTAATGGTTGACATTGATCAACTACTCACAGCTAAGATTTTCAATACCACGACTTCTACCTACAATGTTGTTTCACAATTTGCACACTTTCAGTATCTTTCTGTCAGAAAATCATGGCTTGTACTAAAGGAGATCTCGGACACAATATTATATCCTTTAAAGAGAACCACAAATGTTCTCAAATAAAATGTTAAAGGATATTCTTTCAGAAGATATGTTAAATTCAGTTTTTTGCTGTAGCAAACATCTTAGCAACATATTGTCACTGGAGGATTGCATGCTTTAAAAGATGTAGCCCTAAAGCAAGGAAACCCTTCCCTCGATCCAAACAAGCCTTCTTGAAAGCAAGAATAAATTATTAATTAAACAGAAAAGGAACTCCCTGATCCCCACGACATCTGCATAATTTTACGTTAAACTCCTATTAAATACGTTAATTTTTCCTATACATCAAGGACAAGTCCCAAATAGACGTCGAAATCTTTTAAGACAGCATAGACAATACATTAAAAATGATAAGAAACGAAGAACTGCATCAGAGATTTGGATGTATTGTGTTCACAATGAAAAAGTCAAACAGAAACAATGCACCGAGATTTTGCGAGTGTTCCATGTACGAATTCCGTCTGTTTTCCGTTTTATCAATGATGTTAATGATGTATCTCAGTGGGTAGGTCATCCCGTCTCGTCTTTGACCAACTCGCGAACTATTGCGTTTGAAGTCAAAGAACAGTTACTTGCACCTGATAGTCAAAGTTCTCAAACGAACAATACAATCCAGGTACGAATTCAAGAGTAAATCCTGTCAAAATGTTAATCCATTCATTTTCTAGCGAAATGGACTTTTACGTGAATAACAAACTGGTTAGCAGCTGACACTTACTCTTAGCCAGTCTATCTGGAACATTTCCTGATAGACTGAACGGAAGCCATGAACACACATATATGTGGACACCTGACGTTTTGTATGACACCAACGACATATCTTTGTCTGTTGATGATGATCATCATAATGGTGGATATTAGATTGATAAAGTTAAGACCTTCAAGAGAAATAAAACAAATACGTAGTTTAGAAACGATAGATCGTTTTCATTTGGACATGTTGTTACTAAATAATAATTTTGTTGAGTGGTGTGGATGTTCGTCTGAGACTAAATTGAAGTAGTACCGGTTTCAATTTGATGGCCAATAGAAACGATTAAACAAAAATATTATAAAAAATCCAGACCTTGCGTGCTATGTATGGAAGTTTTACTTAAAGTTTAATATCACACCAATTAACCTCTAAGCAGAACGAAAATCAAGTATTCATTATGGCTCAGGACTCAGATCCAGTATTGAATAGTGTATCATCCATGGTCAAGTACATAAATGTTTGGTTATTGTCATCGTCCGCAATGCTATTGTAATCAATGGAACTATTAAAAACTCCCCCATGTTCAAGCATTTCAAATGTCAAAGATAGAAGTAGTCTGATACCACCAGACGTTGTCTACCGATCATTAGAATCCAAATTTCCTGGGACAATTTATTTCAGATTTTCCTTGAATCTGATTGAAGTCATGCGATAATTAGGAACCAACAGTTTCCGTGGGATTTATTGCGTTGATTACGCAGGAGGTTATACTTTGATGGGAGTTGATTTCACTTGAAACTAATATCACCCTATTAAATCAGGCCATCTCCATGCGGACCTTCAGTTTATACTAGGTTTGTAGACATATTGAACATCACCGTCTTTGCATAATCTGGTAATACTAAGGAAATGAAAGGTTTGAAAAGAGTGATCATCGACTAACAAAACAGGAAACACTAACCAACGCAGAAACGTGAGTATGATGT